ATACAATGGACCCAGGAAAAGGTGCGTTCCTCTAAGTCTTTCTACCAATATGACCAAGTTGCGAAAACAACTTCTTAAAATTCTTTAGCTCCCTGTTCAGCACTGCCTCCTTAATTTAGGGCGATTTTACTTCTCCAAGTCCATCTTCGTACCAGTTATATTTAAATTTACTATGCGAGACGGGCTCAGGCTATGTACATTTGTCTGACTTGTATTTTACCTTTCCTCTATTTTGCTCGTCAAGACCCCCCTTGAACTACGCCAAGAGCCTATTCGTCTGCAGCAATAACTTTGATATTAATATGACGATCACTGAGAATCTATTTTCACCCATTGCTCTTCTGTATCCTTGTCCTACAATTTTTAGGTATTTTATCACTTTACGGGTTTAATCAGAATAGTTACATTTACAATTTCGGTCGTTTTTTGTTTTGTCTAGCTAGGCTTCTTGGTACCTTCTGGCCTTTGTCTATGCTCTTGAACTATGTTTTTGTGGTTGTTTGCCTTGTTTTTGCAATTTAGTCATATTTGTGGGAAGACTTAGAGAAATGCACCTAGTCCATGATAATTTCCAGAATCGGACTGTGGGCGTGGTACATTTTTTCTCAACTATTTATCATCTATGATGCTATACATTTGTCTTATTCTTCTACATCATTATCTCTCCATGATTTACATACACAAAACTCCTTTCTTTTTTCCAGACCAACCAGTATTATTCCTTTTAAATTCATTTTATTGCGCTATTTCCTTATCTCTTCTTAGCCTACTTGCGATCAGTCTTTACTCGTCTCCGTTCCTCTTCTTCATCTCTCATCACATGCTCATGTCCTCAATGCCTGGTTTACTCGCCCAGCTAAGAACGGTGAAAGCCTGATAGATTGGGGCCAACGTCTTCATTTTCCTCCAAGCGAACTCAACGCGCTGGCCACTGCTACTCTCAACAAAACTTGTCGAAACTTGTTTAATCACACCCACAAGATTAAAACAATTGGATCTAAGGGCCGTAAAGTTCCAGAAGCTACATTTGGTTAGTAGGGTTTGACCTGTTTTTGAGTTCTTCGTTTTTTTAACTTTTATTGGACTATTTATTTCCGCGTTTTAATTATAATTAATAATACGACCAATGCTATGAATTTGGTTTAATCCATTTAATGGATATGTTGAAATTGTATAATATGAATAGGATACTTTATATGAAGATATGAAGACCAAGATGTTGTGGCCTCTGATATGGTCGCAGTCTCCTTTCGATTTATAGAGGTGGGTTGACCTTGTTGTCGCAACTTGGTCTTGTTTTCAGGGAGACTATGTAGAGCGCACCTAGTCCGAAGTCGTCTGCCATGGTGGTTGTCATGATTCCCAGCATCTGACAGTGAACTTGATACATTCTCAAACGTTTCGCCGGCATCGTAGTCGGCATCATCAGACTTGTCTTTTTGACGAGTTCGTAGCTTGGTGTAGCAAATGGCAAAACTCACTGATGATGCCGACTAAGATGCCGGCGAAACGTTTGAGAATGTATCAAGTCCACTG